CTGCTGAGCGGCCGCCCCTGCGGCGGCGCCGCGGGCAAGCTGCTGGAGGACCACTCGGGCTTCATGGCTGCGCTCGGCCGCAGGGTCCCACAGAGCCGGGGCTACGGCACCGCGGACGAGGGGCCGCTGCTGGAGGCGGCGCGCGCGGCGGACACCGCGGCGTGCAAGCGGCGGAAGCGCGAGCGGTATCAGAGGAGGCAGCAGGAGGCGTCGAGGAGGGCGATGGGAATGAGGAGGGCGTGACGGCAGCCGCGCCCTGCAGGGCCGGCGTGTGCTTCGGGTGCTGTGGGCAAGCAACCCCGCGGACAGGTTTTGCGGGTCCAGTGCTCGTGAGCTGCGGCCGGCGCTGATCCGCTCGCCAGGTGGCCGCCGGCGCCCCTTTCAGTGCGCATGGCTCAGGACCTCGTCCGAGCCCAGGCTGGTCCCGCCTTGCCGGCCGGGCGCGCGTGCATGCCCCACCACCCTCAGAAACGGGCCAGCCGCCGGCAGTCCGACCATGGGCGGCTGGGCTGCGGCCCGCCGCGTGCCTCTCCAGCGATCGTGTTTCAAGCAGGCGCAAACAAACCACTCATGGCAGCGCGATCCCCTGGAAAATCAACGCGATGTGGAGCACGGCACCATGCCGCCGCCTCTCGCGTACAACCCCCAACCCCCCAAAAACCCCACCCCCAAATTCCCAAACCCACACAAAAACTCCACAATCGTTGCCTTATGCTGACAAGCACCAGCCATGTGTTGCACAGAGTGGTGGCGCATCCTAAACCTCGGCGATTGCGCATGTGCAGACTTCCAGCCGCAGAACCGTTTGGCGGCAGTCTGCAGTCCCAACATACCCGATTTTGCCCTCATGTGCCGCCAGCACCTTGAATTGGGAGCTTGAATTCACGCAGTGATGGCACCCGCTGGTGTGTGCACCGCCCAATGCTTGTCGGCGCACCCAACCCAAGCTTGTGCTGCAGGCAAGAACGCTGTCAACGCCTCGAGCGGCGGCAACAGAACCCAGGTCGATTCAAATATTGATGTTATTTACAATTTGATGAGTGTGGGCGCCCTGCTATGTGTGGCACAGAGTCAAGGTGTATCACAAGCAAGGTACAGCGCAAGCAAGGCCTTGCAGCGTTTGTCGGCCTGCCTCCAAGCGGCACCTTGAGAAATGGAGGCTGCCTGGAACAGGATCCAGCATGATGAAGGAGATGCAAAACATGAAAGGGCCACCAGCACTCCAGCCATGCCAACTGGCATGCATCCTCTAGGGGCTGCCCTGCTCAGGGCGCGACCCACGCCGGTGCGCCCGCCCGGCCCGCCCCGGTGCCGCCGCCGCCGCCGCGGCCGACCGCCGCGAGCGCGGCGGCGGACGCGCCCAGCGCCTGCGCAGCCGTGAACCCCTTGCCCAACGCGCCGCCAATGCTGCTGACGAGGCTGCTGGCCATGCCGTTGCCCCCGACTGCGCAGCTTCCGCCGTCGCCGCCGCTGCCGCTGCTGGGCCAGACGACGGGGGAGTGGTGATGGTATGTAGCGTACCCTGCGGCCGCGGCGACCGCCAGCGCGCCCGCGCCGATCCAGGCGCGCCGCGCGTTGCGGCGCCGCAGCTGGCCGCGTCAGGAGAGGAGAAAGCGGGTAGGGAGAAGCGGGCAGCGTGAGCGCTGCGGGGCCGCCTGTATGGCGGGCGCCCGCCCTGGCAGAACCCACGACCCGCCCCAGTTGCCGCGCGGCCCTGCGCCGCGACGGGTGCCGGGTGCGTGCGTGCGACTGCGTGTGCGCGTGTGCGCCCACGTCCCACCTTTCTGGCGGGCGTGTCGGGGATGTGGCCGTATGTGTGCAGCGCCGCCTCTGCCAGATACCTGCAGCCAACACGAGGCCACAGCCAGCGCCAACATTGAGCCGGTTGTTCAGCAGCCCCTGCTGGAGGCCGGGCCCCCCCCCGCGCCGCCCGCGTGCCCCAGCACGTGCAGGCAAAATCCCTCCTCCCCCCGCCCTCGCGAGCCGACTGCTGGAGGGCCGAGCCGCTGAAACCACGCGGGTGCAGGTGCAGCGCAGCTTCCCATAACCCTGTGTGCGCGAGCGTGTGCTTGCAGTGCGCCCCCGAAAACAGCAATCGAACAACACCTGAAGACGTTGGGGGTGCCCATATCCCCGCGGGCCACCGAGACCCGCAGCGGCGCCGCCAGCGCGAGCGCCCTGCAGGCGGCCGCCGCCGCACGCATCAGCTCCTGCGGCCGGCGTCGGCGGGCGCGGAGGCGGTGGCGCTTGCTTCGCGAATGGGGCGGGGCAGGGCAGGTCATGGCAGGGTACGGTCAGGCGGGGGCGACGGCGCTCCCAGGTCCGAGCTGCGCTCGCCCGCCTGTTGTCTTGAGCGAGCCATCGCCTCCGAGCTTTGAATCTGAACCCGTTTCCTCCCGTCGGCATAGTTCGGAAACGGGCCACCCGGCAGACAGCATATTAGAGGGGGCCAGTGGAAGCTGTGTGGTCGCTGCCACGCCTCCTGACGCGCACCGGGGCCGTGTCCAGGTCCGCCTTTGCTGCTATCATCACCACAGGGAAGGATTCCCCGGCGATCTCCGCCACGCCAGCGGCCAGATCAGCCGCGCGAGAGAGGGAGGCGGCGTCGGACGAGTCAAACACGATCGCGGCCAGGTCAACCCTGTGTGTGTATGAGATTGTGTATGCTTGTAAGTATCGATGTGTGTGGGTGTTTGTGCGTGTGCGCTTGTGTGTGTGGAGGGGGAAATTGGGTGGGGGTGTCGGGATTGGGGTGGTGGGGAGGGCCTCTATCGTGTCGTGTGGGTGTGGCATCTCTATTAAGGTTGCAGGCTGAGGGAGTGGAAGGGGAGAATGGATGTAATGGGCTCTCATGTGTGGATCTGGATGCTGGATTGCTGGGGTGGGTGCGCGGTGCGGGCTCTGAAGGCTTGGGAGCCCCGGGCACGTCGTCGTCGTGCCGCCTGGTGCGGCCCTGCCCCACCTCCCACCCTTTTGGGGGCGGGACAGCAGCGCTGCTGTTGGCGGGGCAGCTAGGGACGGCGCTGCTGCCCCGGTCCTCATCACCTGGAGAGGTCGATCATGGGGTCACTCGGCTCGGCCGCGCTGGAGACCTGCGGTAAGGGCAGCACAAGGCATCAGGTCCCTCAGGTCGCTCAGATCACAGGGCGTCGGCGGGCGGGAAAGCTGCCGTCGTGACGGTGTGTGCGCGGCGGCAGTGGGGGCTGCAAGGGGTAGGGCTTCAAGGGGGACGGCTCTGCAGACGTCCCCAGGGAATTGCAAAACGGCCTCCAATGCTCCCTAGCCGTCCTTCCTGCATGAGGACATTCATTTGGTGCGCACCCGACAAAAAAGCCTTATATACATAGGAGGGCCAAGCTAGGATGTCAAGAACATAAACCCTGCAATTCACCTCAGTCAGCACCAGCGTCCGCACGTCTACAGCGCCCCCCCTCGCGCCGCCGCCGCCCCCCGCCGGCCCCCGCCCGACCGCAACGCTGGC